ACATTTACATTACACGTTATTATTAAATAGCGAATAGTCTAAATTGACATTTAAAAACATACGTTTTTCTACTTTACTTCTTGTTAACCGTGTTCTTTTTTATTTTAAACCAGATTTTAAACATGTGTTCACATTTACAATACTTTATGAATATAGTGGTTAAGTTAGGATATACATGGCGATGGTTTTTCCACCGTTGTAATGGACTCTCGATACAGGTGTACGTTTAGATGAGTCATCTCCAATTAATTGATCAAAAATACACCATGGACTTAAGTCATCTTTATCGGTTTCTTTTTCTTGTACTGGTTGATTTTCAATAGTACAATCTTCTTGTTCTTTAATTATAGAAGTAACCAGCTTCTTAACTCTTTCTTTTGTTTTTTTAGCTTAATTTTTATCAGAAAAACCCTGCGTAAATCGTGAATCCATAAATTTACATAATGACAATGTGCCACTCTGTTCTATCCCTCTAAATCTTTTTGCGAAACCCGATATTAGTAATTAACTAATTTAGTAATTAATTAATTTAATTAATTAATTAAATTAAAAGCTTGTGTCCGCTTTCATGAAGATACCAAGAAGTTTCGAATAGAACGTGGAATTAGACAGGGTGATACTATCTCCCCTAAATTGTTTACAGCTGTTCTTGAATATATGTTCAAGCAAATGTAACGAAAGGATAAGATGGGAATTAATATAAATGGGGAAGATCTGAACCACCTAAGATTTGCCGACGATATCGTTTTCATATCTGATAGAGTTAATAAAGCTACAAAAATGCTGCACACGCTCTATAAAGTGTCAAAAACAATTGGTCTTAAAATTAACACCTCAAAGATAAAACTTATGACCAACCTTGCAGCCAGCTGTAAAATTCTGATTGAGAGCCATAGAATCGACCAAGTAATAGCTTACAAAGGGCATGAGATTCGCTTAGGCCGAGATAATCAGATAACTGAAATACAAAGAAGGATAGGTCTCACATGGGCTGCCTTTGGTAGATTGAATAACATTTTCAAGTCTAGTATCTCAGTTTGTTTGAAAATAAAGGTTTTTAACCAGTGCGTTTTACCGGTTCTTACATCTCTCTCTTCAATCCTGACCCCCCAGGGGGAGTGTAGTGGTCGACGTGATGTCGTGTATTGTCCGTCTCCAGAGATCTCTGTCTCTGGTCATTTCTTTTAATTCATGCATAGGTCTTCGGCATATTCCTGTAATTTGATCTATCCATCTTGTTGGGGATCTTCCTCGTGATCTTCGGCCTTCTACCTTTCCTTGTATTATGAGTCTTTCCATGTTTTCTGTGTTTGCTCTCATAACATGCCCAAAATATTTTAATTGTTGGAGATGGACTTTACTAGAGAGTCGTTGGCTAACTTTTAGCTCTCTTAAAATTGAATTATTTGTTCTGCGGTCGGTCCAAGGAATTCGTAACATTCGTCTCCAACAGAACATTTCAGTGGCGTCTATCTTTCTTCTCTCCGATTGTCTCAGAGTCCAAGATTCACATCCGTAGGTCAGTATTGGGAATATTAAGCAGTTGATCAACCTCATCTTACATATGGTGAAGAAATACTGACACTGACAAAAAGAACAATAGATAAAATAAGAGTTACACAACGCGTTATGGAAAGATCAATATTAGGTATTACCATCAGAGATAAAGTACCTAACCTAGAAATAAGAAGAAGAACAGGAGTCACAGATGTAGTTGAGAAAATAGCCATGGCTAAATGGGCTTGGGCCGGACAAGTTGCCAGATTAAGGGATGATAGATGGACCAGAAAGATTCTGGAATGTCGACCAAGGCAAGATGCATATCGAAGCAGAGGACGACCACCGACTAGATGGATGGATGATATCAAGCGCATCACCACAAACTGGATGCAAGAAGCTCAAAATAGAAATAGGTGAAAAATTTTACGGGAGGCATTCAGCAGGCTAATTGATGATGATTATGATATTAGTAATTGTACTACGTCGGATACTATGGATGTAAGGTTACCAGTTGCTAAAATTTTATTGCAAGATTCTTGCAGGCAGCGTACCATAACAATCACTGAACTACCCTTCAAATATTTTTGGCCACTCATTGTACTTATTTCTTTAAACGGCCGTAAAATTTGGGAAAGTTGAGAAAAAATAATCCAGTGTTCTTTATTTAGATTTGGTCTAAGTCTGTATTAACTAATACCAATGTGGAACGGATTGCCTCATCTAACTCGGTCATTCTTTTTAACATGTAATAGGTGAAGTTCTACCTAGTTTCCACGTCTTGGATTGGCCGTTTGGGAACTTTGTTATGTTGTAATTGATACTTTAAAAGCCCTTCTGAAGATAAGGTACTTTTGGAAATGTGGGTTTTGCCGAATTGTCGAAAAAAGGACTTTTTATTTTATCTATTTGTACACGACAGCATTTAAGTGCGCCCTCCACCAAAAATTTAAAGTATGAGCAAAACAACTTAAATGTTTTCATTCCAAAACATTTTTAATAGCTTTGACCATATTTGAGGCATTATCAGTTACTGCAAAATTTTCTTTTCGTTTTAGACCTCACTAATTAATAATTTCACTATTTTTAGAAGCGATGTTTTCTGAATTATGGTTTCCAGAAAAATGGCAGCAGCCTAATAAAACCGTTTTAAATTCTAAATTTTCGGTTAAATATTGTCCTGTTAATGCGATGTAACTCTCAGTTACTCCAGATGGCCAGAGGTCAGTAGTAATACAGATATTTTCTACTTCTTTAACAACTTGTGATCTAATAATTTGCTCAGTTTTGATATAACATTCCTGAAGTAATGAACCTGACAAAGTTTTTCTTGTTGGCGGTTTATATCCAGGAATCCACCCTGCAAACTTTTTAAAAGCTCGTTCTTCAACTCTGGAAAACGGATGAAACGAGTCTTTGCATGAGTTTAGTAAATCTTCAAAATCAACCAGTACAAGAAAAAGAAACTGATAAAGATGACTTAAGTCCATGGTGAATTTTTGATGAATTAATTGGACATGACTCATCTAAACATACACCTGTATCGAGAGATATAAAAGAAGTCGACATGTATTTGTGTTTATTTTTTTGATGTGGTACATCTCCAAAAATAACCTACTTTTGTAATTTTCAGTCTGTGCCAAACAGACTGCATTGTTGTAGTCTAACAGAAGACCGGTGTTTTCATAGCACTATGAAAAGCACTATAGATGCTCGGCTTTCGAGCACTATGAAAACACCGGTCATCTGTTGGATTACAACAATGCTCGTATTTTGGCACAGACTGAAAATTACAAAAGTATGTTATTTTTGGAGATGTTCCACATAAAAAAAAATAAACAAACTTTAAATTATAAAAGAGACACGGGGTAATTAAGCAACATATATTGCAATATATTGAACAAAATTTAAAACTACACTGACCTTAATGATTAATCATACTAACTAGCCTTAATGATTAATTAAAGAAATAATATTCCTCTAGTGTTTTCTTACATTGTTATTGTTTGCATTTTGAAATATATATATATATATATATATATATATATATATATATATATATATATTGATAAAGTTGTATTTTATTAATTTTATCTTTTATTTATAATAAATGTAATTTTTAAAATATGTGGTTTGTTGTTTAATTTAATATATACCTCAGCTAGCCCAATTATATGTTCTAAGCAATCTGTCACTGTGTGACGTCGACTCTGTAGTCTCCTGGTAGAGTTCAAAAAGAAATTAAACCAAAATTTACTTTAGACCTTTGATAAATTAACCCAAATAAAGCACGTTATTTATTAATATTGAACAAATTTAATATAAACAATAAATTCGTCTGCAACTTCGGTTGCCTTTAAAAATTTACAAAAATAGGAATCGTTTAAGTCTTAACGTGGTTTAGTGACGTGACAATAAAAATGTATTACAAAATGTGGAGACTCTCTACAAGTACCTAAAAACTAAATAAATATTGCAACTTTATAAAGTGTTTAAATGAACTATAAAGAAAAAGAAAATGAACACTTTATTCCGCTGACTATTCAAATATAATCAAAATTTCAAATGATCCCCAAAATTATTGTCCAACCTCACTTTAAAACAGTTCTGATTTCTTTAAAGGAAACTAACTACTCAAAAATAATCGGTGAAACTGGAATATCAATCCTCTCTTCGGAAGTTAAGGTACGTACTATTCTATTTTTAATTTAATGATCATTAATAATTTCAATTTTTAAGGCCTATCGCAATTATGTTAATTCATGAATTTTAATTTCTCAATTTAAATGACATTTCTATACTCCAATATAATTTATAAGTGAAATTGTTTCTCTTACTCTCTGGAACAAATTTCTGGATATCTCTGCTGTGGAAAAACTAAATTCTAATTAGACGAGATAAAAAACACTCCCGACCTATTCCACAGTTTCGGGGCTCTCCTTCGTCCAAAAAACCTCGTCGGCGTCCTCTCCAAAAACCAATTCCCATTATTATCCGTTGCTAACAGCAACCAACGTTCTTTTTTTTTCTGTCTTCTATTTAAATATTTTAAACCATAAAACTGTCCTGTTTGACATATTTGTCAAGCCACATTACTTTCTCATAATCACTTTAATCACATCTAATTTGGGAATTTATAAAAAAAAAATGTTTAGATATAAAACTTATTCTATTACAATACTAATTTATTCTTTTCATCTCCACATCATTGTAATTTCTTATTTAACAAAACCCCTATTAATTTAGCTCCCACAGACTGTCAAATAAACTGTCAAGCAGTTTATTTTCTGACGTTTATTAAAATTTCTATGTTTAAATATTTTTTTAAAATTCTTCTTTTTTTTTTCTTTTTAAGGTTTAAATGCTAGTAAATAACTCAATGCGTACTAAGGGATATTTATCGGCTTTGATAAAAGGATTTATAGTTATCTAGAAATCTGAGATAATAGCCTCATTTGCAATTTTTTCTAATCTAATTTAATTGTAGTAAAAGTCCAGTTGACTACTTTTGTAAAATAATAAATTTATTAAAAACCATATACAAAATTTAGTATCCTAATCGTCATCGTCTTCCTCTCCTTGTTTCTTAAGACTTCCAAAAACTTCTGATGGTACGTTCTGCTTTTCGACTGGTACTTCTTCCTCTTCTGCTTCAGATTCTTCACTGTCTATATCAATTTCGTCAGGATTAACAACCTAAAAATAAAAAAAAAAACGGTAATTACATAAACCATTATTTCTAACTAAACAAGACTATCAGTCAAAAGTTTTAATAACTTTTACAGCATGATTTCATAATTTTTTGCTTAATCTAGTTTACTTTATTTCAGAGAAAACACATACACATTGTACTACAAGATCTCACTGCAGGATCATTACCTTCATAACGTAGTTCATCAAACTCAAATTTTTACATACATTTAAAATTAGGAGAATATATTGATAATAAGTTGCCAGTCAAAAAATACCGCAAATATTTTTAATTTAATTAATAGTAATTAATTGTTGACAAAAATTTTATTTCGTTATCTTATTTTTTTCAAATATAATACGCTGCTCATGACGTATATGCATGTTTTTTACATCAAATTAAAGCAAATTTTTGCTCAATATGATGATAAGATTGCCTGAGAAAAAATGGTTGAAAATTAGGGTTGCCAGCAATTAAAAACTCGACTTATCAACGATAAAGTAAAGTAGAGCTAGGGCACAACGACACTGGTTTGACAAGTGATAATATGTATCTTATTATATATCTATCAACACAAGCTTTAAAAACTCACACATAACAACTTATATCATCATATTTAGAAAAAAAAATTAGCTTTAATTTGATATAAAAATATGCATATACGTCATGAGCAGCGTATTTTATTTAAAACATTAATCAAAGAAATAATTTTTTTGTCAACAATTACTATTAATTGAATTAAAAATATTTGCGAGCACTTTTTGACTGGCAACCTATTATCAGTGTATTTTTCTAATTTTAAAAGTATATAAAAATATAAGTTTGATTAACTACGTTATTAACGTAGCGAACCCGCAGTGGGTCTTAGGTTATAGGTGTATATTAAAATAATAGAAACAAAAACAATGTCTAACGACATGCCACTGCAACTATTTCGACTCCATTTCTCTCTATTTTCTATTCGCGTATATTATTCAATGAATTCCTAAGGTCACTCTCGCATTAAGACACGGTTGTCTGGTATCAAAAAAAAAAATAAATCAGTCCTTTCTCCACCTACGGTGTTCATTAACTCTAGCTACGATATGGGTAATTTTCTCAATATATAGTGTTTAAAAGCTTCCTGTAGAAGAGTCATATTTTATTTAAATTTTGGCTCTATTTAGTTGTTTGATATATAAGTTTGTTCTGCAATCATCAAATGATGGTGAAGTGCGCGAAAATATATACCTTCGTTTGAGTGCTGTCATTATAACAGTGTTGCTATGTGTGAACAGCAAATAATAGCTGTAGAAAGGAATTCGCTTAATCACAGTAACTAACGGATATTAAAAGTAAGCGAGACTGTGTTCCATATCTATAGTTATTTCAAGAATATACAAAGTGAAATGGATACATTGAAGAATGTCGAAAATAAAACATCTTAAGTAACAGGCGCACAGTGGGGAAAAACGCTAAAAAATACTTACGCTAAAAAAAGATTAAATTCTCAGGAGATTGAAGTATAGTCTGGAAATTTGGCAGACTTGTTTGTGTTACCAAGTAGTTGGATAATATATATTATGAAGCGACTTCGAGGATAATGAAATGTTCAGTATACAAGACCATTTTTAAGAAATTGAACAAATATTTTGCAAAAAAGTTGTATGAGGTATCATTCCTATAAATAACGTGGAAATCACTTGGAATAAAATTATTTCTGTCGTTATTTTAAAATATGCTGAGACTCGTCGACTTTTCTATGCTTTTAACATAAATTTAAAAGTACAGGCTGACTCACGCAAGCCTAGCATAGTCCAAAAGCTTTTTTTAGTGGAACATTTTGTAGATTTTTAAAAGCTCCTTAACAACCTGATCTTACCCTTAATACTTACTCTTAATATAAATTTAAATATACAGGGTGATTCACATATTTATGATGGAACACCTGTATATTTTTATGTTTTTAAAATCTCCAACACATAACAACTTATCTCAAAAAACTATATTATGTAGAGTCTGTTATGAATAACACAAAGTCAAATTTTAAAATTATGTATAATTTTCTTCAACAAATTAAATACTAAAACCAATATATTGATACTTATTTTAGAAAATTGATGCCAGTATTTAGCTCATTTAAAAAAAATACCATTCACAATTTTATGTATTTATTCTCATGACGAAAATTATACATAATTTCAAAATTCCACCTTGTATTATTCATAATCCGACCTACATAATATACTTTTTGAGATCAGGTTGTTAAGTAGCTTCTAAAAACATAAAAATATATTAGGGTATTTCATTAAAAATAAAGATGATAGACTATGCTAGACTTGCGTGAATCACCATGTATAATGTATCTCAAATTGGTATGTTTTGCAGGGTATACCGAAAACTAGAGGAGATCGAAAAAAAGTAGTAAAGATGCCATGGATTCTTTTTTCATTTATGTAACGATTGTCCAATCAAATCATTAATAACTCCCAACATTAACGAGATACAAGGCGATTATTGAAAAATGTCGAAAACGACAGGGGTTTATATCTTCTTTATTAGGAAAAATTTTAAAAAACTTTATAAAGACTTTTGACAGATATATTATAGAAGGGTTCAGTGGCGTACAAGATTTTTTTTAGGTAGTCTAACTATAGAATTAAGATACCAACTTATGTTTTTTTTATGAGACACCCTATATATTTTGACATTTTTCGTTTACATTTTTAATTCTCTTTCACCTGATATAACATATTACATCTCTAATTTCAGTCGTTTGAGGTACTCTGCAAATAAGATGTTTAGAGTTGACCTCATGTTAAAGGCACTTGAAAATAAAACACTCGCTAGCATATTATAGCATTTTATTATGAGCATACTAATCCCTGAAAGTTTTATTTAGCAAAAATAAAATCGGTACATATCTAACTTGAAAATAAATCAATACTTACCTAACTGCTTATTGTTGGTTGTAAGTGAATTAGGTATCATTTATAAATGATCGAAGAGAAGGTTTCTTACTGGCGTTAGGTTAATTTTTCTCTACAGTAAAGTGCAAAGCCGATCGTAACGACACAAAACATTTCGTCACGATACAAAATAGATCGTGTCTACGTCACTACTATTTATATTGGCGTTGCAATATTTTTTTAACGTTAGTTAGTTTTAAACATTTTTTTAGTTTATATAATTAAATTTACTATCGAATGATATTTATTTATATTTTATTATTAATTAAATAATATATTTAATTATAGTCTGATGTTGACGGGTCTATGCTTGACAACAATGCAGACGGAATATACACACCGGAACTAGTAGGTAGGTAGTAACATTTCCTACGGTGGGATTTTGATTCGAGGATGGAGGGAGCGATATTTTCTTTGAGAGGTCACCATGTAGAAGGTAACCGTATGGCGTCATCTCTTTTATTACGACAATTTGGCCTTTTCTCTATTTCTATGGTTTCTCGGATAATTCTTTTGTGACCTGTATGAAGGTGGTGTTGACCGAGAGCAGAAATTGAATGAATTGAAAAAATGGAATGTTCATAAATCCTATTTTGGATTCTACGATTTGTTTGGCCTATATAGGATCGGGGACAGTCTACACAAGGAATTTCATAAATTCCGTGCTGATCATTGGAAATACTGTCTTTGATTGATCGCACAAGAAATTAAAATTTTTTTTGGGGGTAAATATTGTTTTTATTCCACTTGGTTTAAGAATTTTGTCAGTGACACCTTTGATGTAAGGAAGAAAAGCTTTAGTATTATAAGGGTCTGAGTCTTTGAATTGATATTGAGTGTAAGATTGATGTCTATTGATGCTCCTATTGATGTGATTTTCGCGGTAACCGTTTTGGATGAGGGTTTGAGAGCTCAGCGGGTCTACTTGCATTATCGGAAAGGCGTATTGATCTGGAGACAAGGGTATTAATGACTCAATTAATTTGTGAAGGTGGATGGTGAGAGTTGGCATGCAAGTATCGATTGGTATGGTTTGTATTGGTATGTAACTAGTGAGTGTAGTAGTGTCTGGGAGCTCGGAAGACTGCGACCTCGGAAGCTCAGAAGAAGACATCAGATAGGATGTCGAAAGCTCGACCCAATGAATATCGACGCGGTTCAACCCAAAAGACTGGTGAGTTTAATATTAATTTTTATAATAGTATTAATCTTAGCTCTAGGTTTAATTGTACTAACCGCGGAAATCTTTCCAAACATATATATATATATATATATATATATATATATATATATATATATATATATATATATATATATATATATATATATATATATAGAGTTTCAAATATAAATAATAAATGAAAAATAAAACTACTAATATATCGTTTAAAATTACTAATAATCAATTTTAAAAATATTTAAATTTTAAAAATACAGAACATTTTTTTCCTTCTATATTTTATAAATAAAATTATCACGAGATTAAACAATCTGTATTTTATTATCTCTTTCGTTTCCATTTATAATTTTTTTACCCGATATAATATTACTATATATTATTTATCTATGATTACTATCTTGTATTTTTTATCTAAAATGACATATTGTTACATCCTGTAAGAATAATCATTTCATCCAACCGGCTTTGGCAATGTTGGTATGGAAAATACCTAACTTTACCCTTTGTCATAACCTATTACAATTTATTATTGTTGCGACTTCTAAGTACTGTCAACAAAAACATGAATTTTGAAAATTATGAAAAATACGATATGCATTTGGCATATCTTGATTATCAAAAGAATGTCATGGTCGCATCTGAATTACATTTTCGATGATAGAAGGCAACCAGACAAGAGAATTTTTAAAAAGCTTGATTCAAATTTATTACTGGTATGGATTTTTCATAAAACCACGGGGTCAGTATAAAAATAATAATGAAGCGAGAGTTGTAAATACGTTAAGTTATATACAAGCATACCATAAAATTTCCTTAAGTCAAATTGAGAAGGAAGTAGGTATTCCAAAGGCAAGTGATAATGCAATTTTAAGGAAAC